CGCTTCAAAGGTTGGAATCCTAGATCCATAGCATTTTTGAGCTTATTTGCATGTTCATGATGATTTTCATATTCGATTGAATTTTGGTTGATATGATTTGTGTTGATGCTGTTTGGATCTGTATACATGTTGTTTGAATCATGTTTTTCTGATTTAATTTCGTGATTAAGTGATTATGTGATCATTAGCATGTTTGAAGAAGTGATAAGCTGTTGAAAAGTGATTCTGCTTTGTTGTTTTCTGCTGTCAGCACAGTGTTAATCGGTTAACACATATGGTTAACCGATTAACCATTACAAATTTCCAGATTTTTCAGAGTTTTCAAAGCGTTAATCGGTTAACGCATATGGTTAACCGATTAACCAGTTCAAATTTTCAAATTTTTTAAACGTTAACAGTGTGTTAACCGATTAACCCTTGGGGTTAACCGATTAACACTGTGCTGGCAGGCCTGTTTTGCTACTTTGTTTGATTGTTTTCATATCGTTTCATCTCAAATGATCATAGATCAGTGTGATGTGTTAGGGATGAAATGTTTCTGGATATATGTCGTTGTTTTGGTTGTTTAATCGAGATTTCGCCGACATTCGTGTTTTTCCACTTGAATGCATACTTGTGGATGTGGTTCAAAGTTGATGATCTCTTGCATGTTCGTTTGCTTTCATCTCTTTTGCGCTTCCTCCATGTTTGCATAATTCTTGCATCGCTGTTGAGGTCGAGATGAGCTTATGGCGGCTGCTGCCCCACACATTTTTCCTCCCTCCCACCATTCTAAGTGTTGCATTTTCATGTTTGCATCTTCTACTTGTGATTGAATTTACTTGGTGCTTTCTTGTGTTTTTTGCCATGATCCCCATAGGGTTCCTAGTCCCTCCGTTTAGGATGGGAGTAGGAGAGACATTAGGTGTTCAATCCAAGCATGCTAACATTAGGGTAGATGTTTCCCCTCTTTATCCCAATCTTAGGACCATTTTGCATGACAATGTTAGGGCCGAGTTTCCCTTAGACCTTCCGTGCGCCTCTCTTCTCATCTCAAAACAATTCTAATCCATTTAATAAAGGCGATAAACGTTGCACGCTACGAGCCTTAAGCTACATGGGGAATGATGGGTGAGGGGTCTCCTCTCGCTTATCTAGAGTGTTTAGTATACGTCCCGTTTGGGGGCGATACACGACGCATTCGCCTCCATGTCATAGTCTTTAGTGCAACGTGAATCACAAACCGAATTAATTCAATTCACTAAAAAACACAAAACAAATTTCAAACATTTTTCCTTCGGGATTAATCGGAAACCTTTTTTCAAAAAAGAGTGTTGTTAAGCTTCGGTTCTAACGCAAACAGGCTTTGTCCCTAACTGTTGGAACGGAGGTTTAACCCTACTCGGTTAAAACACTTAATCAACCTGTGGTTTCGTGTCAGCCCGAACTACGTTTTCTATGATCTTTCATACCAGATGAAAGTACGTAGGCACAAGACGTGATGTCTTGACGAGCAACCTTCCCCCCTTTTTTTTCCGTAGTTATCCGAACTACGTTGGCTCTGACTTTCCCATTGCACGAGGGAATACGTAGGCACAGAGCGACGATGCTCTGCTGAGTCTCTTTTTCTTTTCTTTTTGTCTTGAAGCCTGTAGCTAGATAGTTTAAACACACCCTTAGATAGACAACAAGCGTGGATCCCGTCGAGTACGACGGACGTGAGGGGTGCTAATACCTTTCCCTTGCGTAACCGACTCCCGAATCCAGGACTTGGTTGCGATGACCTTGTCTTTCCCTTTTTCGTCATGTTTTTCCGATTGTTTTCTTTCCCTTTCTTTGGGATAAATAATGAAAGGTGGCGACTCTTCTGTTTTCTGCCGGGTGTTTTTCGCAGTTGCGACACTTACCTTCGTTTATTTATCGTTGTATTGTATTTTAGTGGTTTAGTGCTCTGATCCTGTAACATAGGGGACAAGACTCTTTTGTTATGTTTTGAGTTGGCATCAAATTGTGATGTTAAAGTTTAATACTTTATTTGAGAAGTTCAATTTAAAGTTGTTATTGTTGGATTATTTAATTCAGCGTCTCCCTGAGGGATTCTATGGGCTTAACATCCCACCCATGGGTGCCTACACAGGTGTGTTAGGTGGGCTAGGTAGGCCCCTTGGGGTTCACTTTAAGAAAGATAGTTGCGCCCTGACTAACAGCAATTGCTTTTGGCCTAGTGGTAAGCGTTTGATCCTACAAGTGGTATCAGAGCAAGGTCATGGGTTCGAATCCCCCCGGGCTAACAGAAATTGCGTTTGGCCTAGTGGTAAGCGCTTGATCCTACAGTTATTATGTTAATTTCTGTTGCATGTTGTTAAATGTTTTGTTGGTTGGTTGTCGAAGTGACACCTTAAATTGTCGAGTAATTCTTTTTATATAAGTTTCAGAGTTAGGGTGTTACATATGTATGAAAATATATAAGTACATTATTAACAAGTAAATTTGAAGCCCAATATGAGTCAAAGACATGAAGACGAAAATGGTGTAGGCAAAGACGATCCAAGATCACAAGCCACGCCCCTTGTATGTTGGACTAGGATTGAGGGACAATTGTTATTTACTGGACTGTGACGATGTTCATGATACAATAACAATTAAAGCCCAATCTGCACAACCCAATAACAAGACAATAAAATTAAGAGGTAGTTCAGAATGGTACACCGTGATGACGTCAGACCGCTGACATAAGGAAAATATACCATGCTCTCGGCTACAAGCCTAAGGAAGGTTCTAAGACCTCAAGAACAAATGTGGATTTGTCCTATAATAACACTTGATTAAGGAAAAGAATTAAAGAAGGATCGTCAAATGAAAAAAATGAATTATACTCTAACATTTGTTTTTTTAGACGACGATCTTACGTTGGAAGATTTTAAGGTTTCAAAAACCCTAAAAACCTCCTATAAAACGAGCAATAAATCATCAAATCAATGTACACACTTTTTTTTACCTAGATTACATCTCACATCTGATAAAATTTTATTTTGAGCATGGAAGTATTTGCAAGTACCACCCTTTATTAAGCTGATATACCACATACAACTTTAGTTCCCCAAATTATTTACATCTGACCAACTTCACAACCATGATAAATGATTCTTTATCAGAATGATCAACAACCAAGTATTATTGAAAAACACAACTATGTCACTGGGTGCATTAAAATATGAATAATTGCAAAAGTCAAAACAAAACAAATAATTCAACCGACAACACATGTCTTTTCCCTTTAGGTTTTGAAGCATTTGTTTTTAAGCTGCATAATTCATCCGCCTTTAAATTATTGTGTATTCATAGTTCTCTGACTATAAAAGGAACACAAATTTCTAAGAAATGCATCACTTTATCATCAAGCAATCATCACAATCTATTTCATTGTTTAATTTTAAATTTGTGAGAATAATCTTAAACTATCTTCAGTTTTTCTCGTCATTGTTAAAATTTCAGCAACGATATGGCTTAATACAATTCAAGCTCTTTCTAATAATTTCTTTACTCTACGATTTCATTTAATTTTTTTTACTTTATATGCCTTCAATTACTTGCTGTTATTTTAATTGTTACCACGAATGAGTAGTTCTATTTCTTAAAATATTGAGAACTCCAATGACATACTATTCATACAATTATTGTTATTTCTTATTATTATTGAGTAAAATAATTTAATTTGATCTTACCATATTTTATTATCGTAAGTACATATTTTCCATCGCTAGAGACATTCAACCGAATAAGTGAAAAAAGAATTCAGATTATCTGAACTATAAAACATAACTGGGTGAATGATAAAAAGGAGAAGCATGATCATGTCTTATGGAATTCCACTCATTCAAATGCGTAGCTACATAATCTTGAACAACTGAGTGAATGACCAAAATCAAAAGTAAGTTTATTTGAACTACAAAATTAAATAGGACGTTTAGTACATGAATATATATATATAGTAATGACTATCCTAATACTTCTTTTTGATAAGAATCATTCACATCGCACTTTGTTAAGAGAGGACAAATATTGTTACATATTCACCACGAGTCGTGTAGCTGAAATTACACTTTTTAAGATCAAAATGAAGATTTTAGTCATAATAATAAAAAATAGAAAATAATATATAATATATCATGATGAGATGTCACAATTTTAAAACTTTTTACTATTGTTATTCTCATTATAAACCAAATCAATAACATTTTTATTCATTCAACTAATCATTACACTAATTGAATCAGTATTCAACATTTTTTTGTGTGATCCATTTTTTTATATTACACGATATAACCGTGGACTCGAGACCATATTAAAAAGGCCAAACTAAAAATATTTTAAAACTACAGTTAAATTAAAGTCGCTTCTAATTATATAAAAAAAAAATATCTAAGAGTCAATTATAGTCACTCTTAATTGAAGCAGGGACCATATATATATATATATATATATATATATATATATATATATATATATATATAATATATATATATATATATATATATATATATATATATATATATATATATATATATATATATATATATATATATATATATATATATATATATATATATATATATTGATGATGATATAACACAACCATTTTCAACATTTAAAAAGTGAACCATTTTTACAACGGAGTAGGAGTAGATCACCATCACATTTGATGCAAATAAAGAGTCAAAAATATTACTCCTAATTCATTCTCTATAACACAATAACACCTTCAACAATTAACACTATTTTTCACAATCCTAATTTCTTAAAATACTAAAACTCACACCTACACAAAAGTAGGGGAAATCATCACACAAGTTCCAAGGTTGTTGTTTGGTCTCAAAATCCAACATTTTTTTCTTCAACAACCCTTTTCCCCTATGATCTTCAATCCGAAAACATATAAAAAATTGCACTAAAAATTACTTTTCCTCTTACAAAAATGCTTAGTTTGAAAAACAAAAAACTCACTATTGAGCATGAATAAGCTAAAATTGTTTTAACTTATGGGCTAACTCCTTTGGACAAATCACTGCCCCATCTATGCAAAGACCACCTTTGGTGTGTGTGCAATCAATTTGGGCCAAAGAAAATTTAAGACTAATGGGCCCATTAGGCTTCTCAATGACAAAGTCTCCAGCATGGTAATAGGCCCACTCTCCAGGCCCATTTAAATAGCACTGTGAGAGCGAATCCTGACCGTCGGATATCGATAGTTGAAACCTAATGGGCTTTATATCCCAGCCATGTACTTTTTCAAGATTGCATACTCTTCGGCCCAATCTCTTTATGGGCTTTCCCAATTGAAGTTTGAAAAATAAACTATAGTTCCCTTTTGGAAACTCAAATTCTAGCTCCCCTGATGCTTCCACCCACCACATTTGTTGAAGATATGCAACACTTTTAAACCTGCATTTTCATTAAATACTTTATTAGTAAAATGTTAAAAAGAAAAAAAGAAAAAAGGCGAGCATAAAAGCATTTCCATTTTGTTTAGGTCTCTCATGAAAAAAAAAACTCCTTAAAAAATGAAATAGAACGGGGATATTTGACAATACGAATCTAAAAATTTAATCAAATCTAAAAAAATAAAATGAAATGGAACAGATCCGTAAACATTGCATTTTTAATACATAAAAATTATAAAAATTTATATTAATATTTAGGTTTAAAAAAAAATAAAACAGAACAAACATATTAAAAAATATGAATTTAAACTCTTAACCTATTCAATAAAAATATACGGACAAAACAAATATGTCGAATGAGTTTCAATACTTTATAAAAAGTGGTTATTTTATATTTTTAATGAATGATTATTAATATTTAATACCACTTTTACCTAAAAATAGGTCATTTTCAATGAGCTACTTGATTGCACTTTTGTTTCTTTTAGTATCTTGTAGATAGGAATGGCTGACTAGGATAACTAGTTGGCAATAGACTTTTAATAATATTTAATTGAATACTTAGAAGACTTTTTAACTATGGTAACATTTTCTATTTGCAAGTTGCTTGCACTTTTTGTTCTTTTTTTCTTTAACTATATTTAATAAATGAATTAAGCTAGAGGAAAAAAATGAATATGGTAAAGCAAGTTGTCAATAGGATTTTAACATTAAAAAACAGAAATTAGTTTTCCTTAAAAGAAAATTACTCAATAGTTATTCTATAATTAATGTATATATATAATATAGAATTTATTTATTTTGATACAATCGAAGCAATTAGTTTTTCAAATCAAAAACCATGAAGAGCAGCAAAAGTCCATTTAAATTTTTTTTTAACATTATATATTCTCACAAGAAATATTGAAATATGCATCAATGGAAACATACTTTTTTTTTGGATGATGGAAAATCTCTCTTATTCTATATTTTAAAAAAGTTTTCTTACAAATGGTTTTCTTTTTAAATTCTAATAATTGTTTCATACTTCTTTGCAATACTTTAAAGAAAACATAACGTTCAAAACAAAATAAAATAAAAATATAATGTTTTATTATTTTTAATTTTACTTCGATTAAAAATTTTTTTTAAATATTTTATCTATTTTCCATCATTTAGTTTTTCTTTCATATCAAACAAATTAATATAAAAAGTATTTGAACCGACCCTCACCTTGATTCCTCAGTTGGAATATAATTCCAATATCTTCTATCGTCAATTCCAGTTATCTTCAAAGATTTTGATGATATCAACAAACAAACTTGCCCACTACATCTATCTATCCAAACTTCCTACAATAATAATCACAAAGAAACAAATTAATACTTTATCAAAAAATATTATAAAAATAATTTCTAAAAAACTTGCAACCACAATTATATCCACAATATTAAGATCTCTTAATTTAATATTCTGATTATCAATAACATTAAAGATACTTATTAAGAAAGTCGAAATTGTGACGAAAATCAATAACTAAACTTGCTATCTCAGATCCACTACTAATCAAGAGTTTTTTTTTTTTCAGTTACTTACTTTTGTACCATCATCAAAGAAATTGGGTTGACATAGTTTAGCATAGATCTTTTTCTTAGTCATAGAACAAACTTTTTCTTCCTCAATAACTTTATTGACAAGAAACTTATAGCTTTGTGGCAACTTAGATTCCCATACATAATCATCAGAGGAAGCTCTATGAAAAGTTTTGTTGACTCTAGCCAATTTACAAATCTCTTGAGGATCCATCTTCATCAGCATGGAAGAGATGCAACTTTCTGGAATATCATCAAGACAAGTCATTGAAGAAGAAAGATATCCACCATGATCATCATCGTTTGTAGAAATACCAGCCCCCATATCAATGGAAAAAATTATATTAATTTGAAGAATTATGAGATGAAAGTTTAAGGAGAAGTTGATCGAGAGAAGATGCTTCAAAAAAGGGTAGATGTGTTTTGGATTTAAAGAAAGACACAAACAAGTCTGGTGGGGATGTTGTGGGAAAAGGTTTAATGGGAAGTTTCCAACCAAAAAAGAATTAGAAATTCAAGTGGACGTGTACATGAGTGTGCAAGGAATATAATATGTGGTTTTTGGGAGGTATTTATTATAATGACTCATTTGTGGATATTATGGGCCCTTTCATTCCTTCCACGTATACATAATGTATTTCTTTCTTTTTTTTTTCTAAAAAAGAAAGTTCATATCAATTTAAAAATATTTAAGGATTGTTTGATTGAGTTTTAATTTTTAAATATTATTTTGTAAATTAATTTTTAATAAGACTTTTAAAAATAAATTAAAAATTGGTTTAGTAATCATATTTTTTTAAAAATAGGTTAGCCCGTTTTTTAGATTCTCTTGATCGTGTGATTAATTTATTCTCCTTTTTTTTGCATCTATTTTCTTGTTTAGAATATATTGGCGGTTTATAAAAAAACCATTTTTAGAGATGAAAAAAATTATTTCTATAATATATTTTTAAATTAAAAAAAATTGAAAATTTTATAAATTAGTGTAGATTTTTTATTTTCTAGACTAACTAACTAGTAACAGATCCGTGTGTCCACATGCGTCACACAATGTTATATAATTTAACAACAAAATATTTAATTTAACATAAATAACGTATTTTATTTGATAAAAAAACATAATTAATGAAAAGATGAATGGATTTATTTAAAGTTAACTAAAATATGGAAGGTATAATTTAATTTACCTATTTCTAATACCAAATTAAAATATAACGTTACACGAAATATTAGATTTTCTTGTCGGCATAACTTAAAACTCATTTGCAATTTTTAATAGAATAAATTGATTAATCTATTCATCTTTCTCATAAATATTTAATTCATAATAAAATATATTAATATGAATAGTATATACCTCTTTTGTAGTATTTCCTCCTCCTCTTCATGTGTAATTGTCAACTTCTAATTTAATTTAGCGAATGCACCACTTCAAGTTCTTGCTTTAATTCATCATTTATCTTTTGAAATTCATTTTGCACTCCATTGCAACTTGATATAGTGTTGTTCCAACTATTGCATTAAGTTATGTAGTCGTGTAGTCATGGAATCCTTTTGCCAACTACTGCTCCGTTGTGCTTGTGAATTCTTCTGGCCATTATGAACTTGGTTAGGACCCTGTTGCTGCAAGTGTGGTAATGTGGTCATAGTTTGTGCATTAGCTTTCTGGCTTGTGTTTATGATCGGTACAGGTTATCTACATTTGTTTTGATGCAGGGTTGTTTTGTATTTTTTTTATGATTGATTGAGGCTTGGACACGAATATGAGGCGAGGACGTGGAGAATATTGAAGATTGATTAAGGCATGAAGTTTAGACATTTGTCAAGGAATTAGGATAGGTGTAGATGAAGATTAAGTTTTGGTTTAGATTCCCATGTAATTCTTGATATAGTGAGAATGACACATGCTTTTGTAATAGAAATATAACTTAGTAAACTCTTACATGACAAAATTCCCAAGTATTCAAAGTGTCTTCTTCTTCAATTTGAATTTGGAGTTTACATTTCCTTTGAATTTGCATTCACGAAATATCTTGGCCATGGTATGAATTCATCAAAGTGTTTTCAAAAACAAACAAAATGACCTTGCAATATTGACTTTTCACCTTTGAATGTTCATTTGTAATAGATGTAATATTTTCCTTCCTTTTGAATTTGATGTTCCAAGTCCTTCTTTTTTTTTTTGCAATTTGAGTGTACCTGTAATGTCATGACTTTTATCATTGACGTTTCCTTCAAGTTGTACCTTGAATAACCTCAATATCTTCCTTAACCTTTGACCATTTGAAATAATCATCATGCTTAAATGTCTTCACATGAATGGATGAACCTTAAGAACTTTGATCCATCTTGAACAAATTTGAATAGTGGAATCACTTGGACCAATATCTCCAAATTAATCTTCCAATCAATGAAGCCCCAACTTTAATTCCTCAAACCATGTTAACTTGTATGATAAGCAATGAGCAATTGAAAGGATAACCATGCCTTGAACAAAATAAACCCTTAAATTATACTCATACTTTTTAGAAATTCGATCCACAAGCCCTTGATTTTATGATCACAAAAAGAATTCCTTGAGGAACCCTTGAAGATGAACAATGCTTAAAGTGTAGAGAGACTTGAAAAAACCCTAATTCCATGAGTATAAGAAACATCAAAGCACATAGAAAACCTTGGCTTAGATAACCTCTTGATCCCATGTCTTAGAAATCTATGCAAATAAATGATTATGGGTATTATTACCTAGTGGAGATGCATATGAAAGTGAAACACAAGCCAGTTATGAAAGTGAAACACAAATTATCTTTATCTGGCGTCACCCCTAACTGCAAGGAATGACTGTTGTGGAAAACCCAAGTTGTCTCGTCTCAAAGGAATATCTCTTTTGGTCAAAAGTAATAGCATTAAAGATGTTCTATACTCACTCCTACGACATTACTTTGGAGCCAGAGAAGCTTTTTTCTAGAGGAGAATTGAAATTTTCCTTGGTAAAAGCTGAACGGGAAAATGCGAAACTTTGGGAGCTGCTCCGTCAGATTCAGAAGAAGACGAGACTGCTGGAGGAAGAAGGGTCATCTTGTTAGAAGATCCTTAACTATTGATTTAATTTTGTTGTTGTACCCCAGACTTATGGGAATATGTGATCTTTCATTTTCTAAAATGATGTAAAAGTTTCATTTGTTAATGAAAACTTTATGTTGTAAAACTCTTTTATTAATGAAAATTTTGTTAAGTTTTCATCACGTCGTTACGTGCTGATCCATTAATTTTGTTCGTAAACAAACTTTTTGGGTCTCCTTGAATGTGTGGTCTGCATTTGCATTGCATTATGCATTTCATTTGCATTACATTTCATTAGTCCTCCGGCTTATCCCGTGTGTTGCTATCAGAGAGAGAATCATGCTGAATACTCATCGGTACAACACAAGAGCCAACGCTCAAAAGAGAATGGCAGATCAATACTTGAGGTTCGATCAAATCAACAACAATGTCGAAGGGCTACGTGGTGACGTTAGCCAAATCATGGAAGTTCTGTTAGAACACAAATTGGTTCTTAATAATGTCTCTTTGTTTTGATGATAACTGTTAGGAAATTTTGTATTTAAGAATTATATACTCTAAAATTTGCTTGAGAGTTTTACTGCAGATTGTAATGATATTAACTCTCCAGAAGCAAATCTGAATTGTATACAAGAAGTTATCTAGACTCTGAAGCGCCAGATGCACTCATTAGAAGACTCTGATTACTGTTTACAGAAGATCCTGAGCGTAGTCTCCAGAAGGATCTGAAGCAAGAAGCTCCAGAAGATTCTGAAGCAGAAGCATTTGAAGCTAGTCAGAAGCATCTGAAGCTTAGAAGAATATTGTATGAAGAGTTTCTCAAAGCATAGTTTCTACAAAAGTTTCTGAAAGTACTAAAGCTGCCAAGTACTGAAGTTCTGTGACAAATATGCTCTGATGATCTACACGCTGAAAGCACACATGCTGCAGAAGACTCTGATACAGCAAAGTTCTGAACATCATTAGAAGACTCTGACTCAATCAGATTCTGAAGAACTTGCTGAAAAATGAAGAAGAAATATTCAAAGATTATATCCGTTGGAGTAAATCAAACGTCTCTTTCCTCATTAGTGCTAGACACAAGAACACAGACAAAAAGGATTTTTCTGTGCTTTCTACTTCTAGGAAAGGTCACTTGATGTGAAGACAAAAAGGCTCAAACCTTTTGGGACACTCTTCTCAATGCTCAGCATCCTTAGATCAACTGCCTATAAAAGGAAGACTCCACCAAATTCTTCAGTTACACAATTTGCTGAAAAGAAATCATATTATTCAAAGCTCTCTTTCTTTCATATTCTTCTTAGAATTTCTTGTACTTAAACTTAAGAGAAAAATCACTGTTGTGATAAAAGCTTTTTAGAAGCATTAATACTCTTGTATTTGATTTACATTAATTGTAAAGGTTTTCCTTAAGAGGATTCAGTTGGAATCAGTAGCTCTTGAGAAGACTAAGAACAGTTGTTCTTAGGTGTTACTATTGTAATCTGTTTGATTAAATAGTGGATTAAGTCCTTGTTGAGAAAGGAAAATCACTCTAGGAAGGGTGGACTGGAGTAGTTGATTTCAACGAACCAGGATAAAAATAATTGTGTTATTATTTTTTTAAGTCTTAATCTTTCATACTTATTCAACCCCCCTTCTAAGTATTATCTCACCTTCAGTTGGCATCAGAGCTCCGGTTCTGTGTGTGCTACCACTTAACAGTGTCAGTAAAGATCCAGAGAGAAATACTTTGATATATATTTATTTGTTACAATGGCTGATAATTCAATATCCAATATTAACAATAAATATGAAGAAAGGGACAGGATCAGCACCAAACCCCCTATGTTTGATGGGGAGAAATTTGACTACTGGAAAGACAGAATTGAGAGTTTTTTCCTAGGATATGATGCTGATCTATGGGATCTAGTCATAGATGGATATGTCCATCCCACAGATGGGAATGGCAAGAAGATTGACAGAAAATCTATGACAGATGCTCAGAAGAAAGATTTTAGAAATCATCATAAAGCCAGAACTATATTATTGAATGCAATTTCACATACTGAGTATGAAAAAATTACAAACAGGGAAACTGCTTTTGATATGTTTGAATCCCTAAAAATGACTCATGAGGGAAATTCTCAAGTTAAGGAGACAAAAGCTCTGGCTCTGATACAGAAGTATGAGGCCTTCAAAATGGAAGACTCTGAATCTGTTGAAGCCATGTTCTCCAGATTTCAGATACTCACTGCTGGGCTGAAAGTTCTGGACAAGGGA